AAATGTATGACCTCAAATAAAAATTTCAGGAAATTGTCAAAACTACGGAATTCACTTCCAAAATTTTTTTTCATATATTTTCGGATTCAGGAAATATTTTTTTCTTTGTTACTATGGAGCATTTTTTTACGTAGTAAAAAAGGGAACGATCCGGGAGGACGTCCCCGATTTTCCCGGTTTTTCCAGAATTACACTTGGTGACTGGAGAACGTCGGAAAGGAAAAACCAAGGACTGGGGTAGAAGGAGGAAATTATATTGCCTTTGGAGAAAAGTTTTTGGAAAATTCTAGGCTAATCTCCAGTGTCGACTTTTGGGTTGTATTCTCCGGGGAAATTCTTTGTACGAAAGAAAATGCATTTTCATCAGAGGGGGAAATAAAATCTAGTGGAAGTAATAAGGCGTACGCATGGGTAAAAGTGAAATCGTGGTATAAACCTCACTCCTGTATCTTTCGTACAACCTGACGTTTATTACATGTTCATGAATGCTTGTATGAACGAATTCCATGGCTTGTTATGTTTAGGGAAGTGTTATGCGTGAAATGATATGGCGCGAAGTCCAACGGATATCCGTAATGATTCTGCTAAAAGTCTCCTGAGATCTACGTCTCATTTCCACATTTTCCTCCTCAAGTTATTAATTTCCCATTTTCAAAATGAACATAAAAAAATTACCAACGTCAAAGGGACATGAAATTTATATAGAATTCCTCATTGATGAATCAATTTTTTTTTTAAAGTAAAATCATGTTATTCTCTTTTTTCAAGCTCAAGACAGAATTTTTTTTTTTTGCATATTGGAGTTATCGTTCACTGAATTCAGCGTATGTCATAATTATTCTATCTTCTCACATATCTTCTCACATAATAGCTCCTCATTTGATAATTCTGTGAAACAGCTTTAACTATTCGATAAATAGAATGTTCACCCTATATTGTTTACTCTCATTTATTTCCATAACAGTTACATCAATGCGTCCAGAACGCATAAAACACAACTAATGGAAAATTTTAGCCGACCGCTTGAGATGTTTATTATCGTAATTGTTTCTGCTGTAAATCGATTATATGTTATAATACCCCCGGGATTATTCAACGGAAAATTTTACCCCGGCATAAATCTCTGTCACTTCCGCAGCTAATCACTCAATATCCCCTGGCAAATACATCAATATTCATTCAGCAGGATATAAATTCCTCCTCAGTCCAAGGATTGTTTTGCAACATTTTTAATAATTGCAGGATGTTTTCTCCCTTTTGAGGTGTTATTACAGCACGATGATCATACTTTTTTACGAGATTATTTCTTACTGCTTTTCTGCAGTGAAATCACATAACTCGACAATAAAATTTACAATACCGTAATTGCGGTCAGAAGAGGACCACAAAGAGGAAATTCCCTTATCAGTAATTCCCAAAAGGAAGGGAAAATCCGCCGGCAAATAGAAATTGGTGAGCTTCTCGTTATTCCGTTATGCTTGATGAATTATTACAACAATGCGGTTATTTAAAATGGTCAGGGGTTTTTATTACAATTCGCGTTGGCACTTAACGGCGTAACAGTTTTCCCTGGAGCAACAATTCGTGGCGATTGTTATTATGAAGTTCCTCGCAACAATGAATACCATTTTAAATTTCATGAATATTCTAGACAGGGAGAATAATTATGCCCAATTTTTTATTAATGTATTTACCGTGAAATGAGATTCTGTGATAGCCTTGATATATTTTATGTTCAGATAATATTGTCGAGCAATAAACATTGAATAAATAAAAACAAATATCCCAGTCACCCGGCACCTCTGGTATTTCATCGAATTCCGGGCATTTCTCACGTTTATTGCGTAAAATTCCCGGTCAATCGGTCGTCTTTGGACCCGAGAGTCTAATCATTATTATGAAAATATTATTATCAGTCATGAGTCATTCTCAAATGGAGCAGTAATAATCGTCAACAAAGGTTTCTCTCAACCTTCAAAAATCCTCTTCATTCTGATTTAGGAAAAATATTTGAGAAATATTAAATGAAAATGATAAAAAAAAAGAAATATTAAAGAAATATTAAATGATAATGATAATCATTTAATATTACGTTGGGATTACATATAATCGGCGATGAAATAATTAATAATTAATGAAATCGAAAAAAAAACGGAGGTGACTCGGGTTCGGGGTTGTGCTGGAGTATTTTCCATAAACCACCGAATAAACTCGTCGTGATAACATTAAATCGTGAAATAATTACATTGCGCAATTATTTCAATATAACGTATGACGATTTGCTCTTGTTTCAGTTCACCTCCGGTTAACTATCTTTACATTCAACAAAACCAGTGGAGATACCGCCTTTCACAATGCATTTGGGATTGAGCACGGATACTGCACTTACACTTGAACAGTACTTGTAGATTAATGTATAAAACTACATATTTGCATTCCCTTCAATACGTTACACTCACGTCCGAGACATTTTCATGATTTAGATCTGGATCGTGCACTCGTTAATCGAATTGCTGATGTCTGGTAAATGTCACGTGTTCTTCAAATTTTCCGGTTACCAGGAATTGAATCATGAGGATTAAATTTCGGAGGGGATGACTTTCCTTCTATCCAAATGGGAGTTCATGTGACGTGCGGATCCAAGTGGAGCCTATAAACAATTTATCGATCAATAGAAAAGACAAACAACGACAATTACGATTTAATCCCACGAAATAGAGACAGTTTAATATTAAGGATCAATAGATGTTGAATAATACGTATAAGCCAGATATTTATTTATGTCATATACACATCAGAATATTCGCGGAATCATGGCCCATAATTTTGCATTATATGTTAAGATACATCTGATCCATCCGGAATTTCTGAAATTAGAAATTCAGAAATGAAGAGATGATTTCATTACCTCTCGTCTCAGATCTTACATCACATTTTTTAATTCAATATTTTTTTATTTATGACACGTGAACCTTACATAAAGATCGATACTAAAGTTTACCTGATTGAAACTATAAATTTATCACCTGGAAGCATTGGCTCAAGTCACACGGTGAAATACAAAGATGACGGTAGGTATGTCTCTGGTTTAATCGAAATCATCAGACTCTTCACTAATTCTAGAATCGACTCAGGAAATTCAATTCCCCATCGAATCGTCATCAAGGTCTCGTGCGTAAATCCCCATCGAGAGGTTTAACACATTCGGGGAATGATGGGAATAAATTTATTCACGAGGATCTGATGATCACGATCTAGTCTCTTGTTTCCAGTTGCGCAACTCTCAGTTCGACGTGAAATCCCCTTTCAGCATTTCGTTCGCTTAATTCTCCACTTTTTTCCTGGATTTTTTAATCAATGGAATCTTTGTTGTTGCCACTGGCCATTACCTTTCAAAGTGACAAAACACCGTGGATTTTTATTAAAAATTCATATGATTTCGGATATCTTTTGACATTTTTTCACAAAATATGACATGTTATGTAAATTTTCATGCCATAATTTGAGAGATCCTACATATCAATATGTGATAATCTGTCATTTAACGGCATCTTATCACAAGTACAGCTGTAAATATTTTTTGTACTTGTCAAGTAATGAGATAAAAGAACATGTAATTTCATCCATTGACAAGTAAATGGACAATTTTCCACATCGTAAAATGAAACGTGAAACATCAATGTAAAATCAGCTACATTACTCTTTCATCGATGAGAGGTATATATAGGTTCATTCATTATCTCCGAACAAATGAGCTGATCCATCAATACCAATCAGTAGGACAAATAATGACAATGCAAATTCCGTTGTTCGAAAATGCGGAGTCAAAAAAAAAAATAAATAAACAATGCGCTTTCAATTTCCATTATTACAATTTCTCTTTCTCTCGCTAACGAACCAGTGTTTTTTTTTTCCTGACGTGACAATACATTCTTTCGTTGTCTCCAGGTGGACCAAAATTAATTTAACGAGCGAAGAAACAAAATATCATGCAATACATGAAAGAAAGGTCACCTGGTATTCGTCACGCAGTTCGTTCAGGTCTCGACTTGGAAAAATTTCACTTCCTGTTCAATCAGGTTTTTTTTTTCTCAGTCTCCCAAATTATAATCGACGGTAACATAATAAAACAGCATTAAGCAATTAACAACTGAAATACTCATTAACGCACGATTAGAAAACATTGAATAATTTTCCTTAATCATCAACGATTTCAACCGTGAAATGAAGTGGGTCCAGTCATCAATTACGATTTGAGCAATTGTTTACTCCAGTCGATGCCTTCCTTCGCCGAAAGTAATTGATGAGGAAAGCAACTTCGTCATGCGAAAGAATAGAGAGTGATGACGGTTACGTAAACAGCAGATTTGGCCACAAAAGAAATGATTTCACATTGAAAAAAGTATTCGCCAGTAGTCGTTACAGTTATGAAGACTATTACACTGGTTTAATTATTGGAAATGGTCATTAAAATTAATGATCAATCGGAGTTCGAGGAGAGAAGGTAATTGAGGAACGAATGAGATCTTAATTATCCGGATAACGCTGAGGTTTTATGCTCGATCTCGTCTGTCATTTTGATTATTCGATTCACAATCGATCTGTAATTTTTCAAAATTTAAAAATCCAATATCAATCCCAAATTCAATTAATGAATTTCAAATAAATTCGCTGTTAATTTCTGAGGTGAATGTGCCCCAGCTCAGTCAGATGTCTTAAGCTATCATAATTCAATCACTTTGACAGTTTCAAGAATCTATCACGAAGGAAATATGATTGAATTGTTTTAATTAATGACGAAAGTTATAGACTCCAATGACCAGTGATTTATTGAAGAATGAGAAAGGAAAAACTTGATCACATCCACTGGTTTTACGATTGAGTGAAATATTCAGCTGCAACTGAACGAACTCGTGATTTTTCAATTGATATTTTTGGGGATTATTATATTATATTTCATATTTTAGGAAAATGAAGAATCGAGAGAAGAAAATTGTCAATTACATCTCAAATTAAATTTTATTGACCTAGTGTACATTATTACACACGTAAATCGAGCTAATTGAATAATTAATGGGCAATAATTATGTAAGTGAGTTTCACATATAATACAATTAGGGTAATTAATCAATGAGAAAACTATTCATCGTTTTATTTCCTGTGACAGCTGCCTCAATGCCTCAGAGTTTGCTAGCACTCCTGCAGAGTTTTTCCTTCAATTTTTATCATCTTTCCATTCTACGAAAAATTCGTCCTACAACATAATATTTTTTTCCACATGGTTTTTTTTTTTGTTATTCTCTTGCATCTACAGTTCGATCCTAATTATTCCTCTGGTTTTTTTCTCGTCATACAAAGGTACGAAAGATTGTACTGCACAAATAATGTTTCTCTGGATAATTCTGACATCTACTAATTATAATTTTACAACCACGTATAATTGTTTAAAATCTACTGAATCGACCTAGCGATTGTTATTTAATTGCAAAATTTATGATCTAATGTCGATAAAATTAGGAAGATCTCGAGTTTCAATGTTGGTAATTAAAAAATAATTTTGTCATTGTTCATTGTGCGTAGTTTGCATCCAGAAGAAACTTATAACTTCAGCAGTTATGAGAATTTAAATTATTCGGAATATCCACGTGCCATGTAGTGGAAATAGTCAGCCGAAATTTGATTGAGCGATACACCTGCTATATTCATCAACATCTGAGTCCAACACATTTAACGAGTATTCAGATTTTTCGATTATTTGCCATTAGCATCTGTTTGTAAAACATCTAAAGCTGATTAGGGGGATTATTTTTCTTCTCGAAGCCACGATCGGAATGCTTCGGTTATTAATTCCATTAATAAAGATAAATAAAAGCAATTTCGATACCATTCTAAACAAACATTTCACAAGTTGATAAATTCACCTGATAATTGGAATTATTCAATTAATTATCGGAGAGACGATTATTCACGATATTAATCGCAAAATGAATGGACATTTGTGAATTCGTTGGCTTCGATAAGATCGAAAGAAATAACTGCTCTGATATTAAAAAAATTTCCACGCAGATTATTTTTGCATCGATATCATGCGTAGCCTGTTGGAATGGTGAATATGAATTTCAACATTACTCAGTTAATCGGTTCGACTTCAACGTATTCGTAAATAAAAGGAGAGGATGGTGGATCATTTATAATACCAGAGGAATTGAGATCGACGGGTGGAGGTGCCCACTGGTCGGCTTTGGATCCTCCAATGTCCAGACCGAGACGGAGATTTGCTGGAGTCGTACCAATTACGAAGTGATCTTCGGTTAATGGAAGAGCGTCCTTCAGCAACAGCCTGAAACAAAAAATTGCTTCACTGTTTTAATGATTGAATTATGATATCATGATATATGATATTGCTTTGATAATACTATTAGAAACATTCACATCTATATCTCAAATTAGATTAGACAAATAAATTAATTGAATTTCACTGGTATTGATGCTAAATCAATACATACCATACGCTCTCCTCAGCAACGACGTGAACCTTGGGAATTGGGAAGCCATTGAATGGTGAAGCTACTGGAAGAGTGTAGGCACCCATGTTTTCAAAGATTATCCAATCCCCCAGATCCATATCCTGTATCAGCATATTTTCGACAACCTGATCCAAGCCATCGCACGTGGGTCCCCAAATGCTTGATGGAATCATTTTTCCACAGCCACTCTGTAATCACAAAATTGGACATGAAATAAATTTTAAAAATAATAAAAGAAAATAAACTGATAGGATCCATGACTATTCTAATGAATCATAAAAAACATTCATAATTGACGTGATCTCCTGAAGTTAAGGTGAACTTAATTAAAATTCCTTGAACATATCGGATGAGAGAGTATGTCATTGAGAAACTATATTTTTTCTGTCTTTATCTAATGAAAATCTGATAAATCGAACTATCTTAGACCAAAAATCGATAAGATATGAACAGGGAAAACATTCGATTGAATTTTGCCCTCCCCTCTCAGGCCGGCACTGAATAAAAACTTGCCTTGAGTGGAATAGGAGTAACATGTTGGTGATCATACAGAAGACAGTTGAAGGATCCATAAACACCATCGTTAATATAATACATATTATGAGTAACTGAATGGGGTGACATTTTGTCACTGCGAACTGATCGTTTGCTGTGAATGCTCGTAGCTAGTGTAAATGCAGATGCAACGTAGAATCTTCCAGGCTCAGCAATAATATGCACGTCGTCATCTAGAAAAGAGAACGCAAAAGAATCATCATCAATGCAAACGCGATGAAAATTTTTTTTCATACCACTCCGAAAGCTCTGGAGATTAGAAACAAGGAATAATCAATAAAACTCACTGGGGAAGTACTCGCTGAGTGCGCAATTGATGACATCAGCGATTTTGTCAATGGAGGTTCCCTTGTCCCCAGGGTAGCCTCCACCAAGATCAAGAAGATAAGGTTTGTATCCGATTTCCTTAGCCATCTCGAAGATAGCCCTTGCATGTCCAATAGCCCTGTAAAAGACCGGAGGATCCTGACATCCAGAGCCAACGTGAAAACTGACTCCAACGACATTAAGATTAAGCATTGAAGCGAGACGCAGTAAGGTCGGTGCCTCGTACACTGGATCACATCCGAATTTCATTCCCAGCTGGCACTGGGCAACTTCAGCATCGCAGCGAATACGAATGACAATCTTGGCAGATGGATGGAGCTTCTTGATCTTGTGTAACTCGCTCTCATTGTCAACAGTCATTGTGTCAACGCCAGCAGCAGCAGCTTGACGAATGTGGGAAGCAGGCTTAGCTGGATTAGCGAATATTATTTTCGAAGCATCGACACCGACCTCCAGGACTTTGTTGATCTCCACTTTGGATGCACAGTCAAAGCCAATGCCCAGTGATGCCAGGACTTCTATGACAATCAGAGAGTCGTTGCACTTAACTGCATAGTAAGGCTCGACCCTCGGCATCTTCTCCTTCCAGATCTGGTGTTTCTTGACAATATCACCGATATCCAATACGTAGAAGGCCTCCTCCTGGAGGCCACTCTCTGCAATCTCTGTGATGACACTCATCACGCTGGATGCACTGTCCAACACGTGGATGCGTTCGTCCAAATTTGTCACCTTCATGTTGATTACTTGAAGAATTATTCGTTTGGGGCTTGTGGATTGATTTATTTGTTTGTGTAGTTGCGTTTGGGAGGATGATTTGTGGTACTCTGCGGACGCTAGGTAGCAATGAGGCAGCTGTCAGTGAGAATTTTGAGTGTCGTGGGGAGGCGAGTTAATGCGATATCAGAGTTGGGGGTGCTAGCAAAGCCACGGGGGCTCTGCGTTCAGGGCCAACTTCCAGTTGACACTGTTGCTCAGAGACACAACAACAGACTGGCCAACCAGTCTATCGCAGATACAACCCTGCAACAAGCGGAATTTACCATTTTTTTTAATCGCATTCGACAGAATGAAGGCTTATCAATTCAAAAATTACTAGAAAATGCGAATGCAATAATACTGACAATTACGTGAGGACTTATTATCGATTATCAGAGGTATAATCACTTTTTTCCACACGACTTGTTAATTTTTTAAACAAAAGTGAGGACGTATTGTTCTTCTCGGCGCGGAATGGAGAATGTGTTAGAAAATCAATGGAATTCATGGTAAGGATTTAATTATAATCGTATCCTCAGTTGAGCTTACGAAAATTGAAATCTATTACAGCTCATTTTCATTTCATCATCGAATTATTGGAAATTCTTTTAGCTGTACATTAACCGTTGAGTAATTGCAACTTACTTTATCGTGGGAAGTAATTCTCGTGCCTTGACAAGTCACCGAATGAAAATAAATAGATAATCGTTTTCGGTATTTTTTGTTAACTCTTGTTAACAAAAAATCAATTCAGAATGGTATTAATCACTTGAATGAAGAAAGTCGATGAAGATCAGAGAAAATGTTGGATGAATTACTTGGTAATAGGACTGACGAATAGTCGATTGGTACTGAACCCGAAGCCACTGTTTCACCCCGTATTTATACGAATTTGATAAGTGTTATCAGTACAACCCCGTGGTTCCACCTCCTCAAGACCAAGCCTTATCTGACAGTTCTGGGATTATGATTCATAGAGATTGAATTAGCTAAATGGAGGGGTGAGCGATGCACACATCACGCCAAGGGTCATACTTCACTGGGGGGCAGTACTTATACTTTTTTTTTCGCGGTGATAAAAGACTACTTCGTGTATCTCATCTTATCGCAAACCAATCCGAATATGGAACAGTATCAGGTTAATTCATTCGCCAAGAAATGTTTATACCCTCGTTGGAAATAATTTTTTTTTCAATTTTTGAGTGGGGATTTGCGATATCTGCCACGCGTGGTTTCAATGAAATTCATGATTCTGATCACGAGGATGTACGTGCTCTACCCTCTCTCGATCACTAGAGAAATTAATTAAATCGTCGTTAAATTATCTATTTTATTTGGTGAGATATGTCATTAACCTTGGAAATATCGCTTGATCCCATTTCTGCCTCTCATAATCATCGATTTATTGAAATTCAAGAGGATTTTTGCATTTTTTTTTTTTGACGAGACAGAATTTCAATTGGTAGAACAGTGGAAGGGTTAAGACGTTCATGGAATATATTCTTAGAAATAATTTCAGAAGCTAGTTAAGACGATTTTTGTAGAAACAATTTTTTTTTATTGATAGAAGACTGATTTTTAACAGATCAAACAAGGGAGGTGAAAGTTTAAAATTTCAAAGACTATCAAACTAATCTGCTTTCAGATAACTTTATCTCTGAATTTTTCTGAGAATTTTCTTTCAAAACGGTTGTTGCCACCTCAAAATGAATTCTGAGATTGATGATAATGAATTACTATTTTTCTCATCACATATACCAGGAAATATGGGAATCCACAGATGGATGATCGCCTTGACTCTTAGAAATGCTCAATGTCAGTATTATGTCAATACTCTCAAGAATGATTGGTTGACACTGAAATGACTCGACATTATTCACAAAAGTGGTACCAAACCAGTATAAAATAAGGATATTGTACAAAAATCTCTCTCCATTCCAGAAAATAGGACAAGGAAATTGTTGAGCAATTTCTAACAGTGAATCTGAGTAAAATTTACATAAAGTCAAATAAAAATTGCAAAAAAATTATACTTTTTACTTAAAGTTATGTAAATTCACTGTACTGCTCCTTAAAATAATTTTTACTGGAGCTACATTGTTTTGCAGCGTTGCATAATTTACAGAGAGATATTGAATGCATCAATAGTTCTCGAAACCGCACATCTGATAATTCAAAAACAGAAACAAGATCTCCAGCGATAGGAAATCATGAGTTCTCGGATGTAACACGTCAATACTTGTGAAATGAAAAATAGTACAGTATAATCGATAATTACGAAACGAGGAATTTCGAGAAACATTGAAATGGATAATGTGACTAGTAAGAACTGGTTTAATCCTGAATAAAATAGACGCATAACTTTAGTATCACAAAGACGACCCATATCTCAGTGCTCAGCTGATTCTCTCTATCATTAGATCTACGAGTCGAGGCATACAATGAAAAATCTTGTACAGATTTCTTATGAAGAGGAAATGAGTTCGATATTCTCGGTCGATGGACGAAATAAGAATTACGTGATACAACGATTAGGTGATATCATTCCACTCAGATTACGTCCTCCTATTTCAACTTCAATTTTTTCAATGCAGGTGGCGGATTTTTTACGAAAATCAAAGGATAAATTGCTATAAATTGCGCAATTCCTTGAGGTATAGTTGAGTGCATGGAAAATGTGGTCTTGAGTGGTTTCTTTGGGCATCAGTATTTGAGGAGGTGAGGATTCGTGGGGGAGCGGTTTATTATTATAAAAAGTATTCAGCGTCTATTTCTGAATGGAGAGAGACTCATTACATATGAACATGGTATTGAGGAAAATAATGTCATGTTTTTATTCATACAGGAAGTCACAAAGAAAGCTAGGCTAGTGGAAAATTACACGTGAATAATCAAACTTTCAGATTCGGGTAATAAGGAAAATGATTTCAAATTTAAAAAATTCCACTTTGAACTTCTCGATTATTGACAACTCCATTTGCATACAGTCAAAGTTATGGAAATAAAAAAAACTCGTCATGCAAGAGTTAAAAAGAGTGACTACTCCAAAAATTCCCGCGGAACCGATTGACTCCGGAAATATTTTCAAAAAAATTGCAATTATTGTAAGCAAAATGTTCGAGCCAACACCCAATCACTCAAAATCCTCGAAAAATCCAAAAATACCCAATGAAACTGTCTAGTGTTCCCGCGCCATGAAACAATTAAAAATAGATTATCAAAATTGATAGCCTTATTGCAACGCTATCACTCTCCCCGATAACGACGAGTGCCTTGAGATCTTCAAACCCGAAGATAAAGTGCCACGAAAAAAAAAAGAAAGCTCCATTGAAGTTCACCTGAATAAATATATGAAACAAACTCCATATGGACAATTAACCATAAATGAACAATAAAAAACCTATTACACGGCAGAATTAATTGTCGCAGCCCTCAATACCCCTGAAAAATCTCGATGACTTTCCAAAATAAATTTTATCCCAAACAATGACCGATGGTGCAACGTTCCCTGAATTTGCACATGACTCACCCCTTGAGGAGCAACCATACTGTGATATGCCTGAAAAAAAAAATTGTAACTGGGAATAAAAAAATTACCTTATCAAATGTACGCCACCCTGCGGGTCGGCCCTCGGTTATTGGCGGAATGGTGGAAGTTTTCGTTGACTTGATCCCAAAAATCAGTCAAAATGAGTTTTCGCACGGAATAACGGCTCCGGGCGGCAGCCACTGCTTATTCGATTTATGGACTCGTGACTTAACAGTTGAAACCGAACAGGACATTAATCCTCAATTTCCTATTACCCGATAATTTCTGTCTCGAGATGTATTGCTCACTTGATTACCGTTTTAGTGTCGTTTAATTTGTTACTATTGTTTCGTTAAATGCCGATTGCTTGGTGATTTTATTCAATTAACTCGATGGAACTTCGAACAACCGTGGCAACATGGCCAGAAGGGCTCGGAGAACAAAGTTGACTTGTGCATTCGCAAAGTCATTGGTATTAAACCGCTTGGGAAGAGCCATCGACCAATCCAAACCCACTGCCTCTTGAATGATGAATTTGAGAACGTTGACATAGAAAAGGCTTGACTAAAGTAGAGGCTCAGTTCTGGGGGTTTGAGTGACCCCAGCGGCATCGTAGTACTCCACCCTAAGAAAGGGAGGGCGCCAGGGAGGTATTGCCTTCAGACTTCGTACATAGCGCTGTATAACGCCTTCTCCTCATGTGCGTTTCGTCCCCACCATTCAGCGATTTCTGGCATTTATATTTGAATGCCAGTCGAGTCCTTTGATTTTTTTTCTTTCAAATTTACATGAAAAAAAAAGGTAAGGCATAAAAATTGTCTGCAAAAGCATAAATGAACAATGGGTATATGATTATTTTAATTAGAGAGATTCTTCCCCAATATTGGCTATTTTTTCATAAATCAAGTAATTAAAGTGAAACTCTTTCCACGTCACCCAAGAGGTAGAGTCCTTGACGCGTTTTTTTTTTAAAGTGGTATCCCCTGTAGGCCTAATCCACTAAGTCAATGAAAGGGAAATTGTTATGATTTAAAAACCTGGAAAAAAGAACCATGACATTTATTAATAATAAATAATAATGAATTAATAATAAATTCATCAATTTCTATGGATATTCTAGCTGCATTGTCGATGTTGAATCACCTCATCAACACTGATTTGGGAGAAATATCGAACGATGATGGAAGATTCGAGGAGAATAAAAAAGCATTACATGAACTGTCTGAGAAACGCTGCGAGCTGCTGCTGAAATTGAAGAAGAATCGGAAGTAATTATTTAAGCAATTATATAAACAATTATCAAATGATAATTGTGATTTTTATTTGTATTCTCCTTCGTGTCCAGAAAATAGCTGAGAAATTC